TATATGTATTAAATATCATATATAAATGTGTGTATATATATCGCTCTCTCGCTGTCTCTCTCTCTCTCTCTCTGTCTATCTGTGGTGTCTCTCTCTCTCTCTTTCGCTATTCTCTGTCTCTCTCTTTCTCTCCCGATCTCTCTCCATATCTATATATATATGTATGTATATATATACATACATACATATACCTATATTACCACCCTTCGGGTGATAAGGAGGTTGGGGAGGGGGAGAGGGGGGGGGAATCAACATCTGACTCAATCGATCTCACTATCGATCTCACTCAACGGGACACCACGGGACGCCACGGGACCCCTCGGGGCACCACATCGATCTCACTATCGATCTCACTATCGATCTCACTCAACGGGACACCAGGGGACATCACGGGACACCAGTCGATCTCATTATCGATCTCACTATCGATCTCACTATCGATCTCAATAGCGATCTCACTATCGATCTCACTCAACGGGACACCATGGGACACCACGGGACGCCACGGGACACCACGGGACACCATGGGACACCGCGAGCCACCGACGGACAGACGGACGGACGGGTGGGCGGGGGAGAATCATTTGTCTTGACTTCGCTCTGGCAACGGCGGACACCACGGGACATCACGGGACACCAGGGATCACCACGAGCCACCGCTGGATGGGCGGGAGGGGGAGTATCATTTGTCTTGACTTCGCCCTAACAACGGCGGACACCACGGAAAACCACGGGACACCACGGGACACCGCGGGACACCGCGAGCCACCGCCGGACGGGCGGTGGGCGGAGAATCATTTGTCTTGACTTCGCCGTAGCAACGGTGGGTTCATTCCTCTCGCGCGCCCACGCAGCTTCACCTCGCCTGCACGCACGACACGAACAAAACGAAACAATTTCCCGGTTGGGGGTCGCCGTTCCACTGCGATATACATATATATATATATATATATATCTATATCAATACATATTTATCCATATATATATGTATACATAAATGTATGCTCGCTCGTTCTCTCTCTATCTCTCTCTCTCTCTCTCGCTCGCTCTGTCTCGTTCTATCGCTCTCCTTCTTTCTCTAGCACACGTCACCTCCTGCTCCACCGTCCCTCCCTCTCCCACTCCCTCCTTATGCGCCTCCTCTTCATCCTCCTCCTCCTCCTGGTCTACGCAGTGGGATCTTCGAGACCTCGATATCAGTTTGACTGTTTCGCACACGGCGCCGTTCGATGTGGTGCGTCCTGTCTGTCCGCACTGGACGTCACTCAGCCTCCCTACGCACATTCTGACCCAGTCTGGCCCCATCCCCCGTACAATAGAAGGCGGGTCAAATACTGCCACTGCCATTTAGGGATCAAGGTGATTCGACACCCGACCTGGCGAGGTGAAAAGGATTCAGCAGAGTGGGATAAGTCGTCAAATCTGGCAAGGGTGCACCTAGCTTCTAGCTTGATCATGTCCTCTCTCCCCCTCCCATCCACTTCTCCTCCCCACTCCCATCTCCTGGTCTCCGCCACTCCCTCCGCCCTTCTCCACGCCCCCTTTCCCTCCACCCTCTCTCCCTGCACAACTGTTCAATATGAGCCCCCCCGCTCACGGCTACCACTATCGTGTGGCCACCCTGGCACCACACTTCCCCACAGCTGTGATGGAGATACCTCTTGCTGTCGCAACGTGCTCCGATCGTCAGTGCGGTGCAGCCTGGCTCAGAACGGTGCTCTTGCCTGACCGTCCGCCTCAGTTCTTGACTCAGACTGGTGCTCTCGCCTGTTCGAATGTTCAAAGATGGGGTCCTGAGGGATGGGAGCCCAAGGACGAGGTGCCTAACACAATGCAAGCTTACCCTTGGACCCCTTCCTGTCCTCAGAACCCACTCCCGCAGGACCCCATCTTTGAACCGCCGATCCGCGCAACGAGAGGGAAGGGAACGGGTCCGGAACCCCCACGCCTTCCCCAGGACCCGCCTCTCAGCCTGAATCACTCCCGACGGTCCCGAGGCGGGGGAAGGACACCAACCCTAGACGGGCGCGTTCCACGACTCGCCGAATAACTACTCGCAGGTAGCCTGGATCCCCCCCGGGGGACCTCCGATGCATTACGTCAAAGCAGAAATGTGCTTTCGGACGTGTGCGAGCAGGCACTTTGCGAGCAGTGGAACGCGCTCGGTGAAACCCGAGGAGGCCGAAGACGACGAAAAATGTCAGGAGCCCTTTTTCTCATTACCACGTTTCTTCCTGGTGAATGCCGGCGCCAACAGCATCCCCGAGTCCGGCAGGTGATCTCGCCAACCGCTTCTGAACCTACAGCTGGGCTCCGCCAGGTGGTCAGAGGGGGGGGGGCTCCCTCGGTAGGAGCCCGCTCGACTTTCAGAACTGTGCTCTCGCCCCAGCGCTCTCGCCACGCTGGCCTCCCCAGTTCGCCTCTTCATCGTGCTCACCCCTTCCTCTTGTAAGCTTTCGGGGGCCTGCCCTCTGGGGTCCGCTCTTCAGGTCTGACACCAACTCAGCGGACCTCCGCGTGGCGAGAAGGTGCTGGGCGGGCTGGGAGCCTATCTGGTTTCGGAGGAAGAAGCCTGACGTGGGACCGTGGCGCTCACTGCAATGAAAGCGTGCAACCTCCCTCCACCTCCACCTCCTTCTCCTCGTCATCCTCGCAGCACTCTTCCCCATCCTCCTATCATTGCCTCCCTCCCCATACTGCGACGACTCGAGCTACAACTCATCCGAGATCACGGTTGCGACAAGCGACTTGGAAGCGCGCCCCCGCTGGGCAGGACCAACCGAATCGCAGACATGGCGGAGCAGGTTGGCGGCGCACGCAAGGGGGTAGGGGGAATGGAGAAGGCTTCTTGGAAGGAGGCTGCTTCTTAGAAGGCGCCTGTCCTACATCATCTACGGAGAAGGCCCGCGCCTTCTCAGAAGCAGGCGTGCTTCTATGGAGCCTTCCCCCATCCCCCATACCCCCCTCTGCGCGTGGCCGAGCAGGCCGCAGGCCAGTCCTGGGACTTGTACTTCACGTCCTGCCAGGGCACATGGTGCATGCGTGAGGGGAGGCGGCATGGCGGGCGCGGCTGCCGCGTTGACAATGGGAGCGGAGGAAGGCACGGAGGGGCACGGCCAGAGAGCGGGCGAGGACTCGCTCGCCTGGTCTTCGCGGTGCTCTGCCCAGGACTGCCACGCACGAGCAGCGCGCACCCACCCCCTCGCTCAAAGGGGTGTTTCCTGCACCCTCTCGCTCCTTGCAGTGAGAGCAGGCGTAAGAATACAAGACCATTGCAGAACGCCCCCCACGGAAGGGGGAGGAAGGGGGGGAAGCATAGTGGCGCAAGGGTGCCACAGGCGTGTGACGAAAACAGATCACCAGCATGATCAATTCTGACTGCGGTCGGCGACCCCAACCGCCGTCCGAACCTCTTTTCGCTAACCAGGGCTCTGCCGCTCAGCTCGTTCCCGTGTCTGGATTGTCTTCCAGACAGAGGCCGGCCCATAGGCCAGACTAAGTAGCAAACAGGACGGGGCCAGAACGTTCGGGGCAAGGGACAGGGGAAGGCACAGAAGCAGAAGCAAGAGTATGAGCTGGAGCAGGAACAATAGCGAGGGCCAACACTAGGAGGAACACGAGCATGAGAAAAAGGAAGAGCGACAGTTCAGCGCCAGGGCTGGTCATCCAGCTCAGACGAATAACTTCGGAATGGCCCGCTAGATTGTCATCATTGCTATGCTGAGGACGTGACAAGGCTGGTGCAGACAGCCACGGCACATAAGTCATCAGACAAAGACACTTTCGGCATTGGCACCATGAGGGCCATACGACAGTTGACGCCGTTCGCCGTCGACGATGCGTTCAACAAATATTCCCCAGATCCTTGCCGATGCCGTATAATTTGCATCGGAAGCCGCACAAGGCGCTGGCATCCTGGAACAACGGGCGGTACGGCTTTTCGCCGTCAAGCCCGTGGCACTTGCCGAAGTGCCCCCAGGTCGTTGCTTGTCCTTCGTAAACGGACCGAACAGGAGATTAAGGGCCGCGGCCGCTGTTGCGGGTTATTCATTCTTGTATAGGGGCCGTGGTTGGGAATCATGGTCTTCGGCATGCCCCACGTTGGCCGAAGTGCCTGCCCTTTGGCCCTCTTCCGCTCGGGGACTCCCTCTGGCCGCCGTGGAGGCCCCGCGGGCAAGACTCCAGGGGAACGAATCGTCCAACACCGCCTGCGTGCATGCTTGACTACGCATCGCCTGTACGCGCGTTCGAGACGGTCCAAGTCGGGGATGGACAGACCCCCCTTTCGTAAAACGTGGTTTAGTGAAAACGACTTGAGGCCCAAACCTGGCGGGCGCCAGCCTGGAAATTACGGCCACGGCGCCCATCTCGAGAACCGAAAACGGACAATTCACCAATCGACGTGTCACTGTTGGGGGTTCTGTCCGCCCCCGACCAAGGGAGGTCCCAAAGAGCGGCTCCGCCACTTGCCGACGTCTCCCCCGACACTCCGAGGCCCGCCTGCTGAGTCGTACAGTCGGGGCGTTGACCTAAGGAACCCTAAATAAGGAACGAGGCCCCTGTTTCCCTTAACTGAAACTTCGATCCCCCATGGAAAACCTAAGGAAAACCCTAGGCAAACTGTAAAACAATCAAGGAACACCGAGCACCTCCCCAAGGAAAAGGGTTCCTTAGTCAGCGCCCCGACTGTACGGCTGCACGGAGCGGCGCCTCGGTGTGGGCAGAGCGGTGAGGGAGCGTGGACTGGCCGTTGTGCGTCCCCGGGCCAGGGGTCGCCGCTCCCTGGCGAAGGCCAGCCGGCACCTTGAGCTCAGAGGACTACTGAGAAAGAGAATCCGAAGGCGAGAGGAACAAGCAAGAACAGAGCAGGGAGAACGAAGTCGAGATGAAAAGTAGCAATGCATGAGGAGCATAAGGTGCAGGAGGAGGAGAGGCGGGAGAATGGCGTGGACTAGGACGAGGCATATGCTGACTGAGAAAGTGGTGCGATTGGTAGAGACGTTCCTGCTCCTTGTTGGTTTTGTCTACGGCGTTCTGCTTGGACTGCTCCTCGTACTCGTTCACTGCAGCCTCCCTCCTCCAGATCTCCTCGGCCGTCCTTGCTCGCAACTTCCTGCTCCACACCCGTTGCTGTCATGTTCTCCGCATGGTTGTCGACGTGTCTCGCACGTGCTGAACCCAACCAAACTCACGCGTAAGATTCGGCGCAGCAGGAGCGGCACATCCGAAAACAGCCAAGCTGCGACAGCAAGGATAACCCTAAGACAGGGGCAATGAGAACATAAGCAAAGGGATGCATCGCTGGCCGAGGGAGCGGCAACCGAGAAGGCAGGAAAACGTTGGGAGCCAGCTGAAGAGCCCGAAAATCGGAGGTCACAACTAACTGAGCTGTCTGTCGGAGCGCAACGCAACCCGACAGATCCAGATGCAGCAGGGACAAGCTCCAAACCCTGCATGTTTGACAGATGTGGAACAGACAAAGTCAGACACAATCAGTTGCAAATGATGGGGCGCGAAATGGGTGGGGAACTTACGTGTCGTAACGGATGGGGTAGGCACATTCTGGTTCCACAATATACAGAAGGATGGCGCACGAAAGAACACTGAACTTCAGACACTGAACCGATACTGCGAAGGCGGAGGCCCGACAACGCTTCAAGAAAAACCATGTTGCGACAAATTGACCCCTACATCTGCCAGCCGTTTTGCGGAGCCACCAGTCTGCGAGGAGCAAACAACATTGTCAAACAACATGCGCATAGTAATACGCAAATGAACCATGCAAGCTGATCGCCGTTTAGCCTTAATGTCGTCACGTTGTTCCGCTATCCCGCCGCCGTGGAGTTCTAAGACACGCCGTGCCGAAAAAGGGAGACCAGACACCCTGAACTTCGATGAGCAAGGCTTGACATGCGGCTGAAGACACGACTCCACTGGACCTCGGCCGCCCGCGACTACACCGCTGGGCCGCGTGCTGCCGGTCCCCCCTCGACGCGCGCGTGCCTGAAGACGCCCCTTCTGAAATTGCGTTGCTGCGGTCTGTTCGGTCCCCGGGCGGCCAATATGGCCTCCAAAACGGCTTCCAAAGCAACAACAACGACAACAAAACGGCTCAACATGGCCCAAGGCAGCTCAAGAGCGTCTCAAGAGAGCCTCAAGACGACTCAAGATAGCCCAAGAGGGCCCCAGTACGAACCAATGGGTCCCTAAGAGGGCCTCAAGACGAAAGCTCCAAGAGGCCTTCCTGGAGAGCGCGAGTCGGCCAACACAATTGATTGTCCGCAGGTTGTTGAAATGTTTGGGGGTTCTCGCCTTTTCAGGTTTCCGACAACCCAAGACGGCCCAAGAGGCTCACAAGCGGCCTCCAATATAGCCCCACGACAGCCCAAGAGGTCCCCCAGAGGGCCCCAAGTCTGCCCAAGAGGACCCAAAGATCGCCCAAGGGGCTCCCAGAGAAAGCCCCAAGACGGCCTTGGAGCGCTCCATGAAAGAAACAAGACGGCCCAACGAAGCCTCTAGGGCTGCCTTGGGAAATCGGAAACCCAAACATGCCAGAACCTCAAAATCCTTCAAACACCTGCGGAAGATCAATGGTGCTGGCCTCCTCGGGCTCCCAGGAGATCTCTAGATCCGTCGTGTCGTGGGGGGCACTTGATCTGCCCTTGAGGCCGTCTTGGGAGCCGCATGGCCTCCAGGACGGCTTTCAAGGCAGCCAAGATGAACTCGAGATGGCCCATGATGGCCCAAGGAGGCTCAAGAGGTTCCCACGACAGTCTTAAGACAGTTCAAGAAGCCCCAAGACGTTCCAAAAGGTCTCCAAGAGGCCCTCCTGAAGAGCCCGAGGAGGCCGAACCCATTGATTGTCCTTGGGTTGTTTCAAGTCGTTTGAGGTTCTCAACTGTTCGGGTGCCCGACCACCCAAGACGGCCCAAGAAGCCTCCAGGAGGCCTCCAATATAGCTCCAAGACAGCCCAAGAGGCCCTCATTTTCTCCTCCTCCTCCTCGTCCTCCTCCTCCTCCTCCTCGTCCTCCTCCTCCTCGTCCTCCTCCTCCTCGTCTTCCTCCTCCCTACTGCGCGGACGAAGACGACGGCGTGATCACGACCCGCCCCAATGCAAAATATTCATCGGAAGTGCGCTGTTCCTACACTCAGCCTCCTGCCCGATGCGCTGTTGCATAGGCACGGTGGCGGGGTTATTCGCAGGCAGCTGGCTCAAACCGAAGAACTTGAAGTCATGAACTCCTACGCTCGAACGAAAATCCCACCCAACCACCCGCAACTTGCGGGCAATACTCACGATGCCGCGTTCGCAATTGGCTGCCGGAACGTGTGTGCAACAAGCGCACATAGCAGGTGAAATCGACCCTTCTCATGCAGATACATAAATCTGGCGAGCGAGAGATGATGTCGGAGAGCATGTGTGGTAAACCGCAGTGCACGCAATGTTTGTCTTATGTGTCCGCAGGCCTCGACGATCAAATGGTGGAGAAAACAAGCAATGGTATTGACACCATTTCGACGTGCGCGCGCGCCCACGCGCGAGCGTGTGGCCCGCATGGTGTGTTGTTAAATGGTTGGTGGAGGACACCTGTGACGTCAGCAAGTGCGCAATGATGCTTGACCTCTCGGTACGCGCGCGGGCAGGTACGCGCAAGCGTGGCCCGCATTGCATCCTCAACAAGGACCACAGAGACCGAATGCTGCCCCACCCGTTTAGCAAATGCGCACGGACATACGGATACCTGCAATGAGTGCCAAATCAGCAATCGACCTCGATTTTGTTCAGTGTTTCGAGCTTTGATCCTTGAGCCTTGAGCCTGGAGTCTTCGAGACTCGATCCCGCCGCCGCCGCCCGCCAACCCGGAAGGGGAGGAGGAGGAGGAGGAGGAGGAGGCGGAGGAGGAGGCGGAGGAGGAGGCGGAGGATGCGGAGGAGAAGAGGAGACGTATTGCTCAAGCCAGAGAGCAACTAGTTGCTGCAGATCTCCCACGCAAGGAGTGCAGCCATGGCTTCACATTTGGCTCCGTTGAGTCATTGGTCGGGTGTTCCGAGTTTGGGTCACGTTGCGGGCCCGGGCCGCCCCGTGGGCACCTCGTGGGCGCCCCGCGCCTTGGGGAATGTGCCCGAGGTGCCGCCGCGTTGCCGCCGCGTTGCCGCCTCGTGGTCACCTCGTGGGCTCCCGCGCTTGGGGGAGGGGGGCTCCTCCTCCTCCTCCTCCTCCTCCTCCTCCTCCTCCTCCTCCTCCTCCTCGCTTGGGGGGGGGGGGCATGCCGAGGCTGCGCCATGATGCCGCCCGTGCAGCCTCGTGGGCACCTCGTGGGCGCCTCGCGAGCGACCCACACATAGCTCATGCTGCAGAGCTCACACTGCAGAGCTTACATCGCAACGCTTACGTCGCATAGCTTGCGCCCCATGGCTCCCACCTCCAGGTCACACAGCATGGCTGCCACGACATGTCGCACAGCACATAGCTTACACCGCACAAGTCACGCCGCTACAGCTCACGCAACATAGCTTACACTGCATAGCTGCCACCGCATACCTTACACCGCACGACTTCCACCTCCACAATGCAACAATGCACGGGTTGGGGGGGGGCACGCTGATTCGCACGAGTTCAATATATGACCTTGGTACATGGGAACGAATAAGCCGGTAATAGCTTCGACATGCGCGCTTGGGGTGGGGAGGCGCGCGCGTGACTGTCTCGCATGGTAGGGTTGCAGAGGAGTTCTTACACAGCGCGTGTGTTACATCCACGCGCGTGCATCGCATGGTCGTTCTGGATGAGGGTGGCGTAGGGGACTGGCCTGGCTGGGACGGTATGAGTTCATTGTCGGATGACCGATTGCACAACATGATAATGAAAGATACCCCAGGTGAAACATGTATATCCTCAGCACAGGGTTCGAGTCGGATGCCTAGGATAAATAACATAGTTTTGTGGATTCGTTTGTGCGGGACATGTCTGGAGCGATCTCGGCGATATACGTGGTGTAATGTATGCGATGCGGAGCCTATGTTGTGCAATCGATGAGGCACAAGGTATGTGGTCCAGGCTATACGCTGCAATATGCGTGCTGCAGTCGAGGCCGAGTGGTGAATGCTGGGAACATATGGAGTCACCAACCCCACTGATCGAGCAAACATCCCACCCACCCATCCGCACTTTCTTGGACAACTCCGCAGACGCAGCAACCCGAGGACCCTCGCACACTGCAACGCGAGATGGTGAACGTGGCAGATCTGATCTCCGTCGTGTCGTGCAGCAGTCTAAAAGCAGTGGGACGACGAGCATCGGCTCGGCCAAACGAAGCGTTGCATTGACGGGTCGTCCCAGTCGGAGGATAAACGAGTGTGGCCGCCACCTCGACATTAGACGCATGACTGGTCATGCCCTACATGCGCATGGTAGCATTGGGACGCCTGAGCATCTCAAATTGTGCGTCCTCCCCGCGACGGCAATGAAGCGATCTGGGCTTATCCTTTGTGACCGTCACACCGATGGCTGTAAGCCTAGGATTTCTGATGTTCACAGCCACGTCGCATGATCACATGTACGCCTCCATGGCGGATTTTGCCAGGATCGCATGTTCAACACCTCGCTTCGCGAGAAGTGCTGTCGCACTGCACCCATAGGTCAAGAACACCTCTGAGAAATTGGCGAATGCACGTGCGGGTTCGCCGCGGTGCGAAAGCCTGACAAACGGCAGAAAAGCTGCGGCGAAGATGAACGGCAAGGACGATGCAGAATTGCCTAGTGAGGATCTACATCTTTTCATGGTGCCTGCCTCCCTATCCGCTCTTCTACGTGCTACCCCCCCCCCCAAAAAAAAACTATCCCAAGATTCACTTCCTGTCACACTCCTATCTCGTCTCGGCTGCGCCTCTTCTGTCGAGATCATCTCCGCCAGGTTCTTGGAGAAGTCCGACTCGATAACCTGTGTTACGCGCACGAGTCTCCGATGGTCGGAAGGTGAAATACAGAATCCAACTACGCCATGCAAAGAGCCCGACCTGATGCAGCTGCGTGTAGCGCAGGGAGCAGCTCTCTCCTCATATGCTACGCGCCACGGGATGGATTGAGTTCGGGTCCCTGTGGGGCACGATCCGCGTAAGGGACGCACCGAAATAGGCGCGAAGGCGCCATGCGCTCGCATCCACTGAGGCCACGAGCTCCCTCTGAAGCACGATCCGCGTGAGGGCGCCGGAATGTGCGTGAAGACACCGTGCGAACGCACTCACTGGAGCCATGGGTGAAGCTTCATGTGGGAAATTGGCGTGGAAACGCCATGTGAACGCACCAACTTGAGCCGTAGGTAGGTGGAGCTCCCTATGGGGGCACGATCCGCGTTATGGGTGTGCCGAAACGTGTGAGCAGTGTGCCGTAGTGGACGCGGGATTGGCAGGGGAGAAGAAGGTGGACGGGGAGCGAGGAGGAGGGCCCAACACAGGATGGTTTGTGAGAAACGTAGTCTGGACCTGCAGCGCCTGCAGTGAATCCAATGGGCGGCTTGGTACCATCAATATGCTCACGCACACGCAGACGCACAAGCACATCCGCACACACACACACACACACACACACACACGCGCGCGCTTGTCCTCGGCGGTGAGTTCTGCGGAATCCTCACGGTACGCGACAGCCAAAGCACCGGGCACTGGCTGCTCGGCAGCAATTGGGATGAGGGGCCAAGAGCGAAGACAGAAAAGGCGGGAGACAAAAGCGACGATGGGCGCGTGCCCAAAGGTCACCACATGGCAGCAGCGCAGCGGACGCCCCTCGACAGGGGCACTCCGAGAGGCCCCTCGGCGCTGGCTCCGCGGAGCACCGCATGGGAGGAACCGCAGCGGAAAGGGAGACCAGCCATGCCCCGTGGACTGCAACGCAGCGCCCACACTCTGTTGAGGAGTTCATTCGGCGGGGGACGCGCCCGGCTGCAACGATCGCGCCGGGCGGGAAGTGAGATGTTGAGCAGGGACCGACCGTCCCGGCATTCCTATAGTCCTACCACGAAATGTTCTTCGAACCCAAGAATGTTCGAAGGACAAGAACAATGTTCTTAGAACATGAACCCGATGTGATAGAACACGACAGACTCCGCCCCACATGTTCTAAGAACATCTCGTGGCAAAAGGTACTTAGAACATTGTTTGGTAGGGCTACAGGCGAGCCAGGACGCTTCGCCACTGCTCGATGATGAGGCCAACCCACGGAGGCGGCAGGCTGGGCGAGCTGTGCCCTCCAGGCCCGGGCGACCCGGCGGACGGCCACGGCACCACGCAGGGCCGCCCCTGGCGGGGGGGGGGGGGGCGCTGCGCCTCCCTACCCCCGCCTGGAGCCGGGGCGGCCTGGCCCCCTGGGTGGACACACTTCCTGGTCGCGGACTCGGCGGTCACGCGAGCGGGTCGGGCCTGGCAGGGCTGCTGCAGTGCCGAGCTGCGCACCCAGGGGGCGAGGGAGGGGGGGCGAGCGGCGGCCGCGGAGGAAGGGAGAGGCAGGGCGGCCCCCTCAGACCGTGCAGGTCATGCAGCGGCGTGCAGCGGCCCGGCTCCTGCGGAGTGCCGCAAGTAGGCACACGGACACACACGCGCACGCACGCACGCACGCACGCACGCACGCACGCACGCACGCACGCACGCACGCACAAACACACACACACACACACACACACACACCGACACACACCGACGAGCGCGCATACACACCGAGGCTGGGCAAGCGGTATGACAGGTTAACGATGTGGTCTGGAGGCGGGTTTCTGCGACCGTCCGTTCCCGATGCGCTCGCTGACTGCACAAAGATATTCATTTCGAAAAAGCGCAAGTAGATTCATAGATCAACCTCGCCTACTAATGTCGAATCACACCACGCCGTCACAGGTCGCACCTTTTGCCCACCTTTGGACACAGCGCGACTGCATGTACGCAACTCCCGCTGCCTCCTGCAGGGTCAGCGTTCCTCGCGCCCCACAGCAACTCGTTTTCATTTGCTGCTGAAGCATCTCGCACACGCTGAGGCAGAAGCCTCGTGAGCGTCACAAAAGATCGACAGAGACTGCTCAAGAGGGGAGCGCTGCAGCGTTCCCCGAGGGCACCTCGAGGAGGCCAATGATGCCTGAGCTCGCGCCATCCGCAGCGGAGTGGGCCTTGTCATTCTTCGCGTAGTAGTCCCTGAGGACCTCCGCTCTGGCCGGCGACGGACGACAGATCACGGCCCGACACAACACAATGCACACGACCTGAAAGGGCAAGTTTGTTCGCGACACGGCAGGACGGACGCAACACAACCAGCAAATATATGAAACAAGAAGAAGAAGCACATTGTTCGCGACACGGTACGGCGGACACAGCATAGCGCGTTGCACTGCAGCACGCCACGTCACCAAAACAGCGTTACCTGAGAGGACCGGCCTGTTCACGTTAGGGCAAGGCGGGTACAGCACCAGTCGGCCGCTGACCGGCCACCGCGCCCCGCAACACGGTGAAACGTGATGGTATGCCAAATGCTATCTGGTAGGGTTTCTGATACGCAGAAGGCATCTATACACCACCACTGTGCCAGGCCAGGGCTATCCTGGCCCTGGCATGGTGTATACGCCACTCTGGCCGAGGCAAGAAGGGTCTATACACCATCTGGGGGCCCAGGATGGCCCTGGCCTGACACGGTGGCGACACGGGGGTGTCCAAGAGGGGGGGGTGCAAATCATGACCGGCGGCATGTGCGCGGCCCAGCGGGGGGGCCAGAGACGTAATGAAATCAGAAGAGGCGCCATGAAATCTGGGGAAATATCATGGCCCCCGCCATGATATCCACCCCCCCTAGTCATCACCCCCCTCTTTTCCGCCCCCGATATCTGGTAGGGTTTCTGAAAGTCTTCAGGTGCCCCCCTCCTCTCCACACGCTCGGGTGCGTGCAGCGGCCCCCTCTCCTGAGGCACACGCTGGCCGCCCAGACGCCTCCCTGAGGCTCCCCTGGGAAATTTACACTGGCAGACTCGATGGCCTAACGCCTCCTCTTCCTCCTCCTCACCCCACTCCTCCTCCGTCTCCTCCTCCTCCTCCTCCTCCTCCTCCTCCTCCTCCTCCTCCTCCTCCTCCCTCCTCTTCCTCCTCCTCCTCCTCCTCCTCCTCCTCCTCCTCCTCCTACTCATCTTCCTCCTCCTCCCCCCCCTTCTCCCCCTCCTCCTCCTCCTCCTCCTCATGCTCCGCTATGCACCCAACAGCTCCCAAGAAGACCCCGAGAGGCGCCAACGAGGCCCCAGCAGACTTCAAGGGCAGCGAAAAGAAGGCCGAGGGGCCCTCCAGGGATGCTAACGTCATTAGACAGAATGCTGACGCATCGTGTGCTTCAATAGTTTGGGTATGTGCCTCTCGGCTCAAGATGACTACGAGGGCCCAGGAGAAGCCGAAGCAAATCCTGAGGAGCCCCATAAAAAGGTGTCGAGAGGCCCCCCAGACGGCCGAGGACAGCCCAAAGAGGGGCCCAGCAGCAAGACGACGCACGAAGGTCCCAAGAGGGTCCCAAGACAGCTCCCAGAGACTCCCTGGACATTCCCAGACGGCACCAGCGGGAAACGTTCCATTACTGGCCCGCCCCCCCCCCTCCCATGCCCCCCCCCTTAACGCCCGTTATTGCCCGGGAATGAAAAGACGTTCTCCTTCTTCGCGGAACATCTCCGCTGGCGGCGCAAGGTGGCACAGCAGGGGGGGGGGTGCCGCTCTGTCGCGCACTATCGCAATGGCGCGCGCGAGGAGCGTGCTCCTCGATGCTACATGCCCTCTCACTACTAGAGTTGAGTATCATGTGTGAGACTGATGTTTAAACTGATAGCGCCAAATTTGTTCGATCAATGTTCACATTCGCGCCTACTAGCGCCTATGTGCGCCTACGAACGTTAATCCGCCACCGTGCCGCTGGGCACGGAGTGGGCGTTTCCTTAGATCCTTCGCCGAATCCCTTCAAGTATTCCTGAGGAGTCTTTTAACGGGCCCGGATCCCAATTTCCGAAACCTCTTGGGGCTTGGCGTGTGCACCCAGGGCTCCGGCGCATCTTGTCGCGTAATCGTTGTTCGGGCCCAAGAGGGCCCAAAGACGGACCAAGAGGGCCCCACGACGCCCTCAAGACGGTACAAGAGTGCCCCGAGTCGCCGAAAGATCGCTCCAAGACGCCCAAGATGGCCTCAAGATGGTCCAAGAGTCCAAGACGCCCCAAGAGGCCTCCAAGAGGCCTCCCAAGAGGGCCCCAAGAGGCAACAAATCATTGATGTTCGATCGTTTTGCAAGGAGTTGGGCGTTCTCGCCTTTTCTGTTTTCCGACAGTGCAAAACAGCCCAAGATGCCCCTAAGACCACCACTCCAAGACGGTCCAAGAGGCGCCCAAGACGGTCCAAGAGGGCCCCAAGACGGCTCCAAACAGGGCCCTAGAGAGTGAACACGAACTCAAAAATCAGAGTCCTCCGCCCCAAGAGGCCCGCGGGGGGTCCCAGGACGCGCCCAAGAGACCCCAAGAGGCCCCCAAGAGGCCCCCAAGAGACCCCAAGAGGCTTCCAAGAGGTCCCCAAGAAGCCCCAGGAGGCCCCAAGAGGCCCCCAAGACCCGAAGAGGTCCGCGAGAGGCCCAAAAGAGACCCCAAGAGGCCCCAAAACGGCCCCCAAAAGGCATCAAAACTGCCTACAAGACGCCCCCGAGAGGCCTCCCACGAGATCCCAACGAACATCTAATAGGCTTTATACCCACAACCCAGGCACGGTGGCGGGATGGGCCGAAGGCCATTAAATCCGCCGCCCCCTGTTGATAAATCACAGGGATGCCTGGCGTGCTCGACCCTCTCGGTTTTGGTGTTGGTTCTTTTTCCAAAAGAACTCCCCCTGGGCCTTCGGCGCGTCCCGCCGGGGTCCCGGGAGGCTCTTCCGGAGGTGGTTGCCGTGGGTTTTCCTGCCCCAGACGGCTCCAAGATGGCCCAAGATGGCTTCCAAGATGCTTCCAAGACGGCCAAGATGGCCTCCAAGACGGCTAAGATGGCCCCAAGATGCCTCCAAGACGGCCCAAGATGCCTTTAAGACGCCCAAAATGGCCTCCAAGGCGGCCCTGGGCATTCCAAGAGGGTCCCAAGTCGGCCCAGGGAGGCCCCCCAAACGGCTTCCGACTGCATCAGACGGGCCAGGAGCCTTCCAAGACGGCCGAAGATGGCCCTAAGATGGCCCAAGACGGCCCAAGAGGGCCTCCAGGAAGGCCAGAAAAGGTCAACAACACTGATTTTCCTTAAGTTTTCGTAGGATTTTGACATTTGCTTCTTTTCGGCCTTCCGACGGCCCGAGATAGCCCAAGAGCCCCCAAAGATCACCCAAGGGGTCTCCAGTCAGTATGGCCACAAAACGGCCCAAGAGGCCCCCAAGACGGCCCCAAGAGGCCCCCCCAAGAGGCCCCCAAGACGGCCCAAGAGGCCTCCAAGACGCTCAAGATGGCCTCCAAGACGGCCCTGCAGCACCCCAAGAAAGGCCCAAGTCGGCCCAGCCTCGCTCACCGTGTTCCCCGAACGCTTTCCAAACCGATTCGGGGAACACATGGTCGGATAGCTTGGCAGGCCTCTGGCCACAACGTTCGGCCACACAGGCGTTTCCAAAAAGGCAGGGGGCGGCGGTGATTCGCCGTAGGCGTCTTCGATCCGCCGCCCCCTGTCGATTCATCGCAGGGGTGCCTGGTGTGCTGAACCCTATCGGTTTTGGTCCCGGGAGGCTCTTCCAGAAGCTCAATTCCCAAACAATCCCCCAAGACGGCTCAACATGGCCTCCAAGATGGCCACGTTGGCCCACGATGGCCTCCAAGATGGCCTCCAAGTCCGCCCAAGATGGTCCAAGACGGGCTCCAAGACGGCCCAAGAGAGTCCAAGGTACCTCCACGGTCGCCCAAGAAGCCTCCAAGACGGCCCAAGACGACCCAAGAGGCCTCCAAGAGGTCCTCAAGGAGGGCCCGAAGAGGCCAAAATCATTGATTTTCCTTAGGTGTTTGAAGGATTTTGGCATTTGCGTCTTTTCGGCCTTCCAACGGCTCAAAACGGCCCAAGAGGCCCCCAAGAGCGCCCCAAGATCGCCAACGAGGCCTCCAAGATGACCCCATGACGGCCCAAGAGGCCCCCAAGACGGCCCCAAGAGGGCCCCAAGACGGGCCAAAAGGCCTCCAAGACCGCCCCAGGATGGCCAAAGGGGCCTCCAAGACGGCCCCGAAGCGCCCCAGGAGGGCCCCGAGCCGGTTCAGAGAGGCCCCCAAGACGGCTCCCGACGGCGTCAGACGGGCCAGGAACCCACCGAGATGGCCGAAGTTGGCTCGAAGCTGGCCCAAGACGGCCCAAGAGGACTCCAAGAGGGCCTCCAGGAAGGCCAGAAAAAAAGCAAAAAACATAGATTTTCCGGTTTTGAAGACGCCCTCCCAAGAGGCTCCCAAGACGGCACCAAGAGGCCCCCAAGACGGCCCAGGAGGCCTTTCAGACGCCCGAGATGGCCTCCAAAACGGCCCTGAAGCATTTCAAGAGGGCCCTAAGTCGGCCCAGAGAGGCCCCCCAAACGGCTTCCGACGGCGTCAGACGGGCCAGGAGCCCACCAAGACGGCCGAAGATGGCCCTAAGATGGCCCAAGACGGCCCAAGAGGCCTCCAAGAGGGCCTCCAGGAAGGCCCGACTGGGCCAAATTTATCGATGTCCCATGAATGTTTGAAGGATTGTGGCACTTGCTTTTTTTTTCGGCCTTCCGACGACCAGAGACAGCCTGAGTGCCCCCAAAGATCGCCCAAGAGGCCCAAGACGGCCCCAAGAGGCCCCCAAGACGGCCCAAGAGACGCTCAAGATGGCCTGCAAGACGGCCCAAGAGCTCTCCAAGACGTCCTCCAAGAACGCCCGAAATGGTTAAAATGGCCTCCAGACGGCCAAGATGACCTTCAAGATGCCCACGTGTTCCCCGAAGGCTTTTCAAACCGATTCGGGGAACACATGGTCCGATAGCTTGGCAGGTCTGGCCTCAACGTTCGGCCACATAGGCGCTTCCAAAAAGGCAGGGGGCGGCGGTGATTCGCCGTAGGCGTATGCGATCACTCTCACGCAGCATAACACGCCTAATCTGAGGGGCCTCAACTCCAGGTCACCAGAGCTTGCATTCAGGCCGCAGCACGCCAGCCAACTGTCCCGACCTCGTCTGGTCGTAGCAAGGCTGTGGCTGAGGGTGCCCATGCTTGTAGGCCTGCCGCCACTTGGAGGCGGCTGGGGGCCTGGGAGTCTGAACTGGTTTGGGCCCCAGGGGGAAGGGTGAAGTCAAATCCGCTCAAAATCGGTTCCCGGACACCTCCCGGAGTCCATCCGGAGCAGTTTTCACCCGCATCCATGTTTGACGGTCATGGGGCCCGAAAACGGCTCCCAGAGGCCGAATGCGGCAAAAAAGACCTCCCCGAACCCAGGTCCTCGAGCCTGCCCGTCCTTGCTGCTGGCCAGAACCAGCGCGGGGCCACCTCGGACCCCAGACAGCTCCGAGCTCTGGTGGTCCTCCAAGCGCCTCGTCCTCTCCCTTTCCTCATCCCGGCCCCGGACGGCGAGCGCCTTGAGCGCCAGCTTCACCCCCTCAAGACCCTTCTCGAGCTCGGGCCTGTTCTTGTCGTAGAGGGCCTGAGGATTGGGAGGGGAGGGCAGGAGGCAGAAGAGGGGAGGGAGGAGGGGGAAGGGAAGGTGGGCGGAGAGGAAGAGGAGAGGACAGGGAGGCTACTCAGGGGGAGGAGGGGAGGGAGGGGAGGGAGGTGTTCGGCGGGGGGAGGCCGCTGTGAGGGCATCGGTGGCTGCAGGTCCCGAAGCTCCCCTCGTGATAAAATGGAGACGATACGACTCTGCCTCGCCTGCTGGCAGGTCTGGCTGTGCGGTCTGGACAGTTCCACCGGCGATCCGAGTTTGAACCATGTGGGAGGGTGGGCTCCAGCCAGAGCTTGCTCGGCAGTCCGAGGCGGCAGACAACGAAACGCCAAGCAGGCATGCTTGAGAACGGGGTGTGGGGCTTGGCGGGGGGCAGGCACGACATGTCGCAACGCTGGGGCACAGTGCCGAGGAGAGCTGGAAGGGGCGGGCGGAGTCCGCGAGCTCTGTGGGCGCAGCGTGGAGCAGAGGCATGGGCCGCGTCTAGGCGGGGCGAGTGGCAGCACCGCTCAGGGATGCAGGCTGGAAAGGGGTCAAGGGCACATGCGACCAGGCGGGGTCAGGCGGGACTGGTCGGGGCTTGCGGCGGCAACGAGCTCGGGGGAGGCCAGCACATGGTCAATGGCGCGGGCGGGGCCAGAAGCGGAGGAGGCAGTGCTACCTTTGGGGACCTCAGCCCAAGTGAAGCTGAGTGGGGGCCAGGCGGTGGCGGAATGAGAAAGCTTGAGGGGCGCAGCCCAGAGCGAAGACGCTGAGAGAGGTAAGGCAGGGCCAGTCGCAGCAACGAGACCTGGCGGAAGCGGTGTCATTGGGATAGTCCTTCTCGGGCGGGGTGCGCAGTCCAAGAGCAACGCACTGCGCGGGGCACAATCACCCCAGGCGGCCAGGAAAGGCGTCGATTGCTGGGACCGGTGAACCACCAAGGAGAAGAAGAGGCACACAGAAGAGGAGGCAGACGTGAATCGCAACCCCAGACGCGTCGGTAGGGCGGGCGGGGCGTTTCGCCTGTCACTTCCTCACCAGATGCAGCCCCGAAGCTTAAATCTGCAACAGCTTCCAAGGATGGAAAGCGGTTCCTTTTCAAAGTGGAGCTCTAGCCTTAGCGCCGCGCACATTCGCTTTCAACGCTTGCAAAATGTTCAGGGGGCTGAGCGCCGCGCACCTGCGCCTTAACAACTTGCAACAGCTTCAAGGACGGAAGCTCATGATGTTCAACATGGGGCTCTCCCTAGCGCCGCACACATTCTTTTACGCCGTGTGCACAAGATTCGGGGCCTCAACGCCGTACAGCTTCGTCGTAGCATTCGTTGTCAAACTCGGGCTCCCACCCTAGCGCCGCGCACATTCGTTGTAAGTAAGGGTTGCAAGAGATTCAAGCATGGTGGGCGGGCCGTTTGAAACATAGAGCTCTCGTCTTGGCACCGCGCACATCCGCTTTCACAATATATGCAGCAGCTGCATAAGGATGGCTGGCGATTCCTACTCAAGGTGGGATTCGCTTGAGACTTCTCTGGATTCAAAGACCAGAAGCAGAAAGCACTCCAACACCTGCACAGGTGAAGGTGTTCGAGCCAGGCGTCTTCGAGATTCGAGCAAGGCGTCTTCGCGATTCGAGCAAGGCGTCTTCGAGATTCGAACAAGGCTCCTTCTCAAAATCGGGTGCTCGAGGCGTCTTCGAGATGGAGGCCAGGAGCGCGAGCATTGGCACGGCTGCGCAGCCGGAGCGCGGCTCCTTTTCCAGCCTGGGGCGCTCGCCTGAGATGTACTCGACGCTCACAGCCAGGAGGGAACCTCCTCCTCCTCCTCCTCCTCCTCCTCCTCCTCCTCCTGGTCGGAGGGTTGCACAAGCTGGGGCGTTTCAGAAGATCGCTGGAACTGCATGGCCATATCTCTGCGTTTTTTTTTCTGCACTCGTCGGGATGACGCAAGGCATACAAAGCTCCCCGACAAAACGGGCTTCTCGCCCGAATGGCAGGGCGCTCCTTGAAGTTGAAAGGAAGCCTTCTCGGGACTTGTGCGGAGGGGACTTGAGACGGAAGAGCGTTTTGCAGCACCATTGATGCATCTTGGGCTTGCTCTGGTCCTCCTCCTCCTCCTCTTCCTCGTTATCCTTGTTCCATGATCATCCAGTCCTCCCTCATGCTCGTTCTTTCTCTCTCTCTCTCTCTCTCTCTCTCTCCTGCTCACCACTCATCCTCGCCCTCCACGATCCGCTCCCCTCCTCCCGCTCCTGCTCCTCCTCATCGTCTCACCCTCCTCCTGCGCCTCTTTCTCCTCATCCTCTGCCCTTGTCCTTGCTCCTCTTGGTTTCACCGTCCTCTTCATCCTCTGGCCTTCTCTGACTACCTACCAGACCACCCCAACCCAACCCGAAGACACGAATTTGACCCGAATTTCGGGTTCGGGGGGGGGTACGGGGACCATGTGTGTTGTCGATGTTCCCCGATCCCCCCCACTGGAAATTGAGGGCAAATTGAAGCCTTAGGGTTGGGTTGGGGTGGTTTGGTGGGTGGTGATTCTTATGCTCAAGGACAGGCACGTCTCTGCGTGACGGGCACCCTTGCGTTCTGCAGCAAGCGCGGCTCTCGTGCAAGGGGCCCCCCTGGTCGGCGCCGGCAGGTCTCGGCTCTGGGGCTGAGCATCTCGGCGGGGTGTCCAGCATGGAACGCAGGCTGGTGGCCACGTAGTGGGCACCGCTCGGGGCGTTCGGCGTGGTGGTCGTCAGCGGCATCGGCGTGTGCTGGCATGGCCTCGCGTGCGCCTCTTGCGTAGTCCAAGGCATCGTCAGTCGCCAACGGGCTCCGCAGCGCGCGCTGCAGCGGCGCGAGGCGTCTTCCTTCCGCGTCAGGTCGCCGTGTGCACATCTGGGTAATCTTGCAGCCCCTGGAGCGGGCCACAGGCTGGCGGAGGTCGCGGAGTTCGCGGCCCCATCCAGGGTGCTCGACGACTTCACCGTGCGGGCCCCCGACCAGGCTGGCACGATGGGCCTCGGAGGGCAGGGCGCTCTCGCCCACAGCATGCTAGTCGCTACTGTCAGCAGTCCGACCCTCGCCGCTGAACGGCGCTCCCTGGACACGCTGATAGTCGAGCTGGAAGACGCGCAAAACCAAGAGCTGCACTTACGGGCCCAGGAGGGCCCCAAGCCGCGAGCACTGCGCAGGGAGAGGGCCGTGGCGGACCTGCTGAGGGTCGGCGGTACGTGGCCGTCCTGCGCTCTTGTCGCGCGGCCGATAAGCATGCGCCCAGCGAGGGCTCTGGTGCTGGCTGTTTTTCCACGATCGGCTGTCGCTGGCTGGCGGAAGGCCTCTGGCGCCAGTCGTGGTGTAGCCGCCGCGGGCGTCGAGGCGGGCTTTCGAACGCTGGATGCGATTGGTCTCGACATCCCTCATGTAAGCACCCTCTATCTCGCTTTCTCTCTCTCTCTCTCTCCCCCTCTCTCTCTCATTCCCTCCGTTGCCGGTCCTTTTTCTGCTCCTCCTCCTCCTCCTCCTCCTCCTCCTCCTCCTCCTCCTCCTCCTCCTCCTCCTCCTCCTCCTAGCCGTTACGGCGCAGGTGGCGACCCTGCGCGTACGCAGCGACAAACACTCGTAACGGCTAATTGTCGTTGCGGGCCAAAGCTTTCAAAGACTCCTGTCGGAGATTCCATGGCTCATGGCGGCGGTGGCGGCAAAGGCGCGGCGGCTGGCAAAGGCGCTGCTGTTGCTTCTGCTCGGCGCACTTCAATGCCACCATGGACGGAGGAGCGTCGTCGCCGTTGGGGAGGAACCTGGACTCGCACCTGGCCTCGTGATACGAGCCAGGACGAGGACTGGGACTGGTACATCTCCGATGGGACGAAGCGCGGTGTCACTTGCCCTAACCCAAACTGTGGCTGCAAGAAAAATCTCAAAGGATATATCTTCTGTCGTCAGTGCGGGACATCACTTACGGGCAAGGGCAAAAAGCATCCACAGGAGACCTCTGATGGAGGGATTCTGTCTGCTCCACCCCTCGCTCTCGAATGGCCTCCTCTGCTCCCAGGGCCAGTCAAAGGAACCAAGGGCGGAGGAAAATCCAAAGACAAAGGTGAGGGAGCGGGTGGGAAAGGAGGAGACGACAGGCGAGGTGTACCCGATGGGCGCACCGCTCAGGCTCCGCTGCCTCAAGGCCTCGTCACCTTCATGGATGCTGACAAAGCTCAGAAGCTGGCGGATATGGCCCGAGACGCTGGAGACCCGGTGGGTGAACAGCGCTATTTGGGCCTGGTGGCCCCAAGGCTGCCCAGCCTCGCCCACCCACCACGAAGCAGCGCCTGGAGAAGTTCGAGGGCATCCAGCTGGAAATCCAGAAACAGATCCAGCAGGACCTCGACAAGCTCGACCGCTGGGCGAAGTCCCGAGACGCCGTCCTTGAGCGGGTGGCCAACCTCAAGGACCAGCTCGAGCACGCCAGGCAGGAACACAAGCAGGCGGTGCTGGATCTACAGTCCCAGTACGCCGCCGAGACCCCCAAAACGGCCCCCAAGATCAGCATCCGCGAGATCTGCGAGGGACGGCTGGATCTGGAGAACATCCTCACCATGGATGACTTCTTGGGGGCCCAGGAGGCACAGGAGCTGCATGACCTCGAGTCTCAGGAGGTGGAGGAGCTCACGAAGAGGAAGGACGAAGTGGCGCAGCAAATCCAGAAGGGGTTGGCCGACTACTTCAAGGCCTCCCTCGACAAAGTCAAGGCTGCCCAGGCGGCCCAAAAAGAGCAACTCCAACGGCTCGAAGGTAAGAAGAGGAAGATTGGAGGAGGAGACCCTGTGCCAGGCACCGCAGCGGTCGGCAACGATGGTGCTGGCTCTGCTCCAGCGGCCTCTGCTGCAGCTGCTGCCGCACCCGCTGCCGCCGAGGGAACCAAGCACGCGGATGAAGGTGCGCCCACATTCGAAGAGCGCCTGGCGGCTGCGATCCAGGAGCGCGAGACGAAGAATATTTAGCAGTGATTCGGCGCGAGGC